TCCATACCCACCCCTACGGCCAAAAGCCCAGTCCGAATGAGTTGGCCTTGTCCACTTTTCCCTGCTTTGAATCCTAGTTTTTGGCAATTTGGAGCCTATAATTTCATATTAAAGAAATAGAATTTGAATCCGTGCAATTTAATTTTTATTGGGAAACAACAACTCCCCTTCAAAGTGTGATTTTGTCACTTGAGTGTAAAACAGAAGCTATCCTATACCATGTTTTAGAATTTTAAAGAACAATTTAAAATTTCAGTAAATATCTATTTTTTTAAAAGAAAAATTTTATATAAAGGTTGCAACCTTATTCTGTCAAGAAAAGGCAAACCTTAAAAATCCACGGAAAAAGGTTGTTCAAATGGTAAAAAACCTCTAATTGATCATCTTGACATACAAATACGAAAAAAAAATTATTTAAAGTCCCAAAAATAGTACCTCTTTTGATGTATTGTCTAGACCGTCCATTCTCAATATATAAATACGTTATAGATATGCTTGATCTTTACCATTTATTGAGTTTTTAATTACATATGACGATTGAAATTTACAACAACAAAATTACATTTTTTTATGAGCTTTGAAGGTGCGCCTGACTTGAATCATTTAAAGTTTACATCTTATACAAATCACACCCTTCTTGAAATTGAGCACAGGTCTTAAAAGGTTACTTTAAATCTTATACAAATCACACCCTTCTTGAAATTGAGCACAGGTCTGAAAAGTTGCATCAAACTGAAAAGAGGGCATTCACACCAAGAGCGACGTCGGAAACTGTCACAAGGCCAGCATGGGAACTTTCTTATGATATTCCAAAACTCTAAACTCACCTTTCCTTCTAATTCAATTACAAACTCTATCCTTAAAGCACACGAACGTATTTCTATAGGGGTGGCAGCGGGTTGGGTCAGGTCCGGGACCAAGATGTGGACCTAACCGGACCCAAAAATTAAAATATCTATGTATTTAACTATATTAAAATGTATTTCATTTATTGGGACCTGAAAAATGTAATTGAATTCGGACCCAATAATGTTCGGGTCCAAGTTTTGAACCCGGACCCGACCCACAGGGTCCAATTTTTAGACCTATACAAGGACCCAGATCGTGTCTACTCCTTGGGTCTTGGGTGGGTCTATTGCCACCTATGTATTTCTAGTGTTTTAGAACTCTTATGATTTTATTTATTTATCCTCTTGTTATAAAAATAAAAAAGAAGATAGATATATAAAAGGTAATAAGGCCAATACGAAAGTAGATATTGGGTGGCCGAGAAATTTTTTTTGGAACTATTTCCGTATTATAAAGTTCCTTGGCTTTTTATGCATGATATATATATATATATATATTTCACATTGCATTACTTTTGGTGGCTACCCCACGTTTCATATATATATATATATATTTCACATTGCATTACTTTTGGTGGCTACCCCACGTTCCATACTACCATAGTAAATGGAAATTTCAGTACCACTAACATTCAAAAAAGGTATTAACGTGAGCAAGACGAAAAGTAAACCAAGAAATACTGAGTATATATATGTGAATTCATCAAAAGGTCAACTATTAAATATTATTTTAATTAGAAAAATATTTAATATTTTTATCAACCACTACTTAATTTCAAAATATATATTAAAATATTATTTATCTTCGTTACAAGGATGTCATAATTGCTAGGAACTATTAGATTGGAGTGTCTAACAAAATTCAAGATTTTTTAACTTTGAGTTCAATAAATGACACACTTACAACCATTCAATTTGAAATTTAAAGGATAAGATGGATTGTAACATCCATGTATTAAAAGTAAGGGAGAAATATTATACACGTCTCCCCGAGACATAAAACATCCAACTTAAATATAGATGCATACTTGTAGACCTCTAAAAATGTTAAAACCGATCTGCACATTTTCTTCATGAAGTTATCATTTTTTATTTTCAAAATTTATGTGTTCTTACATATTCATGATCTCCATATTGGATATCCTATATTCAAATAAAATCTAAGTTCCAAATCCATCTCAAAAAATAGATTTTTAAGACAGATGCAGTTCTACATACAAGTCCTAAGACGCATAGAAACCTTAACCAAAAGTAAATATTCTCTTTATATACCTTTTTCATTTTTATAATTTTTTCTGCAATATAAATCAGCATATTATTGAACCAAATAATCACAAAAGTAACCTTATCTCTTTGCAAAATAGGAAGTCAGGAACTACTCGCGAGGGACAATTTGGGGCTTTGAGAAAGAAACCGTCAAAACTCGCAGCAATAATTGTAGCACCACAGAAAGTGGTAGATGTAAATCGTGGCCGATGATTTCCAAGGACAACCGATTGATATGAACCACTCATACCGTTGGGATAGTACATGTATCATACTGATTTCCTCTAAACGTATAAAGGCTTCTTATCCTATGGTTTTTTCGGTATCGGTTTTCTAAAAATAGATGGTTATTTTGGACATTTACTGTTGAAATTGAGGTGTCTTTTTCTCCTACAGAAAAATTGTTTTACGCGGGCTGGACCGCATTTCTACATATGCGCTACAAAAAGTGTAAAGCATATATTTTAAAGATGAATGCAAGTGGATGTCCGATCTAAAAACAATTGAAATTAATGGTACAAATGTCTTCTTACTAGAAATATTATTTATAATTTATAATTTTTTTTTTTATATGCATGATCTCCATGTTAGGTATTATATGCCCTTGAAAATTAAGTCTCAAAATCCATATTAAAAATAGATTTATTAAGAAGCCCGCATTTCTACATATGGGCTTAGCCGCATAGAAATCGATTCCCTTTCTATATTCTCTCTCTTGGATATTTTGAGCGAGTAAGTCTCCGTTTAAGACACGATTTTTTCAAAAAATCTATGATTTTGTAATCCGTTTAAAACTCCGAGTTTTTCAAAAGATGTTAAACAAATCGTGTTTTTTTTATGGAACCGATGTAAACCCGTATTTTATCTTTTTTCAAAAAAAACTTTTCAAAAAAACTTCTTCCCTATAACTTTATTTATTCATTAACTTCATATTATTGACTTTTTATTTAAAGATAAGTAAATTAATAGTATGAATAAATTAAGAATCTTTATTTAAAATAAAATTCGATAAAATGTTTCACCAATAATTTCCCTAAAAAAAAGTCTACAAAAAGTACAAATAATATATTATTCAAAAAATAAGATATCATAACAATTGTGTATCTCAACATAATAGGTAGAGTTAGAAAATTAACGCAATGATTTTTTTTTTTTTTTCTTTAAGCCATCCTTATAAAGAGCATTTTGTGTGAGATTCGAATTTGCTTAAAGATTTTGTATACTAAAGATTTAAGCTGTTAGGAATTTAGCGTGAGATTTAAATTGGCTTAAACATTTTGTTGTTTTATTTATATATAGAGAAGTTTGATTAATTGTATTAATTTTTTTTTATTGGTGTATATAACATAGCATTTTGGATGGACTACTATTTTATGTATTTGGGTATGTATTGTGTTTTAGTAATTAAAATCCTATATTGAAGGTCTTTTTTGCGTGTTTTTTTTTCTTCAAACAATAATCATATATCTTAGTTTACCGTTCTTGTTATTTACTAATGCAGTTCGTGTGTTAAGTATTATTTATATTTTATTTTATGCTCTAAATAAATATGTGATATGTTTCGTACTGTAGCAACCAAGTAAACACTGTTGTTGGACTTATTGAAAGTTTAGACAATAAATTGTCAGGTATCACTCTAACGGCATTTGGTAAGCTCATAAAATTATTGTCCAGTGGCTTAATGTATCTATACAATAATTGCACACCATAAGGCTTAATGTATCTATATAATAATTACACATCATAATCTTATATTTTTCACTCTGTTCTTTACACAAATCCTAATTATTCAGATTTTATAACTTACCTCATTTATTGACAAAACCATATTTTTTACCAAATTTTTCAACGTACTTTTTCAAACAAAACCGATTCTTGCTGATGTATCCCAGACTTGCTAACTATTGTGGAAAGAAAGCTTGGGTCACCAGTCACCACAGAAGAGAGAGAGAGAGAGAGGGATTCTTATTTTCAGCCAGCGAGAAAGAGAAGTGATCCCGTAAGTCTCTCTTTCTCTCTCTAGAATCGTTGTCACATTAAAGCAGCACCTCTCTCTCTCTCTCCAAATGACATCTCTCTCTCTCTTAAAAGGGTGTGACGGCAATTCTCTCTCTCTCTACAAACGCATCTCTTCCCTCTTAAAATGGTGTGACGGCACTTCTTTCTCTGGGAAGCGTTTGCGTCGCCCCCCTCTCTCCTCTCATCTTTCTCTCTCTAAAATCGTGGTTTGCGGTGAGAGAACATTTCTCTCTCTTCGAGAAGGGTCATTGTGCGTGCACATTTGTCTCTGAAAGGGGATTGCGTTCTCTCCTCTCCCTCTCTCTCTAGCTCGCTCGCTCGCCCGCCGGCTCATGCACTGTCTTTTTATTTAGAGTAAGGTTGTGATCTGGTTCGGCCGTTTTCGTCCAGTCTGTTATCTCCGTTAAGCTCATTTTGTCCGGTCTCTTTCGAACCTCTTTTCTCTTCTATTCTCTCTCTAACCTCTCTGTGTCTCCACGAGCGGTTATCGAAAGACCGTCAGTCCAGGAAAAGGAGGTGAGTAGTCGAATTGCTTTTGAATTTCTTTATGAAAGGCTCGCAATAGAGAATGAATCGCCATGCATTTGCAGGCTCAATTTTCGGAGGTATTTGTTCTGTTTTCTCTTTGAATTTGTAGACCTGTGTTTCTATTTGAATCAGGATTCATCTGTCATTATCTATTTCATATAGCTGATTTATGCCCTAATTGGAATTTTATTGTTTATCATATTTTTGTCATTTGAGTTTTTTGCTTTTGTTTTACTTTGTATATGCTCTTATTTTCTTTGTATAATTATTCTATTTTATATTATTTTAAAAATTTTCTGTGCACGGTTTTCAGTTTTTAAGATACACATGCAAAATTTCCTCTTTATTTTGATTTTCGTGTTATTCTTTCTTGAACTTTTTAACGATCATAGTTCTTGATGCGCTAAAGTTTTTTGTCTCAAAAATGCTTTTGTTTGATGAATTTCGTGTACTGCAGACATTATTTTATTATCATAATGCTCATATCTTTCTTCAAAATGGTCTCTGTGGAGTTCTTGATGCATTTGAATTCATATTGTTAAAGTTAGATGTTCCATTAAGACTCAAACCTGAAACTCATCTTATTCGTTATTTCTTTTTATGTCGGATGTGGGACGTCCATTATTTTCTAAAAAATTCGCTATTGCTGTTGTGGATATCAGTAGCATCATGAATGTTGCTATTGCAATTCTGAATGTTTTCTTTCCAGAAATTTGGACGTGTTAAGATAATTGACCAGTTTACAATAATTATTGGAAAATTTTATCCTTTATTGTTATTGGAAATTCCATGAGGCCTTCTCTATTGATTCCATCAAATTACACCTTTTATTCTTGATTCAGGTGGATTCCATTAAGTTCACATAATTATCAACTATATATTTATCATTAAAAAAAAAACAAGAAAACAGAAAAGAAAAGCTCAACTGTGTTATGTGATGTGTGTTATCATTTTCTTGTGCTATAAATGAAGTCTCATAATTATGCTAACATTTACAGATCGATCACTGGACATCAGAAAGAAAAGAAAACTGTAGTACAAAAAATAATGTACTTTATCATTGATTTAATCGATCCGCATCCACTATGTGTACATAAGCATGGAAAGTTCATCCATTGATTGTGTGGATCAAGCCCATAGAATCATGTAGAACTATTGGTTTCCATTTCCTGCAGGTCATCATTGTCTAGGCCTTCTTTCTCTCATCACATAACTACGACTGAGATTCCCCACCCCCCCTTTAAATTAACCACAATCGAAAGTTATTCAAGGTCAGTACACAAAATGCTGTATACATACATATGCGTGTGTCCACATACACACTCGAAGTTGGGGGGCAATGGTCTAGGCCTTTATAAATTGTCTGATATTGCTTACCTGAATTAATCAATATTACCACTCACACCCAGAGAGAGAAAAGAAGAGAAGGGGGGTGGGGTGTGGGGTAAGAGAAAGTGGCTTAGATTAACTCCTGAAGCAAAGAATATAAAAGGACAAACTTTTGGCTAAGATCATGTGTGAAGAATGTAAAAATAAAATTTACAATTGAACATGCATTATGTAGATGTTCTCGGTGCATCCATTGAGGAAAAAAAAAGGAAGTTATTGGCACATAAATTAGTTTTGTGTTGTTGCTCGGTTGGTCATCTAATAAATATTAATACATAATTTTTTGATATAGCCTTGTATTATATGAGCAATGCAGCCTGCTTAGAATGTTTAAGAGAAGCTCTTTATTAGGGTTGGTTACTATTGGCTATAAAATATGTCTTATCGCCAAACATTATACACCAGTTCAGCTTAAAATAAAATTTACAATTGAACATGCATTATGTAAATGTTTTTGGTACATCCATTGAGGGAAAAAAAAGGAAGTTATTGGCACATAAATTAGTTTTGTGTTGTTGGTCGGCTGGTTATCTAATAAATATTGATACATAATTTTTTGATATAGCCTTGTATTATATGAGCAATGCAGCCTACTTGGAATGTTTAAGAGAAGCTCTTTATTAGGGTTGGTTATTATTGGCTATAAAATATGTCTTATAACCAAACATTATACACCAGTCCAGCTTAAGTCGATGATGAATACTTTTGTTGCTTCTCACCTAATAGCTCGTGGTATTTGAACTTTGTAATTCCCTGATTTCTTGAGCCATTCCTGAGTAGTATTAATTGATTATTTTGTGTTGCAGGGCCTTAAATGGATGGAAAGGCTCTTAATTTTGTTTTAATATTTTCTATATGCCACGGATAACGTCACAGTGAGAGATTATTTATTAGTTTGTAACCAAGACTCAGTGATAAGCCAATAACACTTCCTCAACACAATGTCTTACTGTCAACTTCTACAGATTGGAGAGCATGGTTAACTTTGTTGTAGCCATGCATTATGGAGCAAGTAAGCTATTTCACCGACACTGAAATTTGTGTAGCTCCTTTTTGTTACAGTTTCGAACCATTTAGTGACAAGGCTTCAGAAATGAGAGTTACCAAGTTAGTTTCTTGCGATAGTATATCTTTGCAGTATATAGTGACTCTAATTTCCTTACCCCTAATGGAGGATATTTGACAGCAATAGTAGCTTTCCATGGCCAGCATGTATGAAATGATATGTTTCTACTGTCCATTATTACTCGTTGTATTGTATTTTACTTGTTTCTCGGATAAATAGGATATTATTTTTTGCAGACCATGGCAAGTCCTTTTTATTCTTGAGGTAGAAAATATACACTGAGTGTAAGAATCACTTAGATCATGCCTCTGTGGTGCTTTTACATTGTCAGCTTTGTTGACTACCTCTACCTGTTTTTGCTTGATGTGTTGTTGTAGGACATGGGCCATGGGGGCCTGTTGTGGAGCCCAGTTACTAATTTGTCATTTCTCTGACTGCCTGTATATTTTCGGAAAGGTCTTTGCTTTTTAATATAAGTACTCTGGGACAAGATCTTCTTAGTTACCATGCATTCTCTCCAGCTATATCGTTTAACGGAGCATGGCCGAACCTTATCGGCATCTGGAAGGTGCGTATTTCTACATGAGTAATTGCTTATTTATACTGAGTGATACAGCATTTCATGTTTTTGTTTCAGAATTTTCACCCCGTAATTTGTGAAGGGGGTAAGTTGTTTCCCTGATTGCTAGCTTGTGAAGAAGTAAGTTACCAGTTTATTCTCTTCTGTTACATTAATAGGTTCTTCAATCATGGCCATTCACCCATTGAACTGCAAGCTATACATCGATTTGTACTTGAAGGTGCTAATAAAATATATAAAGAAAATCAAAATAAGACAAAAATGTCATTTGGAAAATGAAAAGTCTCTCATAGAGAAGATATCCTTTTCAACTCCTGCTTTGGTCAATTAATCAACAGCTCTGTTTGCATCTCTAAGGACATAAGATCTCTAGGGTTTTGTCGTGGCAAAGATTGGAGTGAATAGGAGGCACAAGGTAGAAGTGGCGACTTAGAACTTACTTTCATCTTGTGAGATTTTCTTTTAGAAATTTCATATTCATTTTCATTCTTGTTACAATATTTTGTGTGCTTTAAGCTGGTGGAATAATGGTTTTAGGTGAATTATTGATTTTTATATCTTGACTCCATTTAGCTAACAATTCAACATTCACCAAACTTTGGCTGGTAAACGGTTTTATTAATTTATTTACTGTGTTTTTCTATGTGCTAATTTCCATTTAATCAGATTGGCTTTCATCTCTCCAATTAATTTGATGTTTATCCTACCTTTTATCTTTTCAATTTGATTGAGACAGTTTATGCTTTGCTTTTCAGGAGAACTCTTGCAGTAGCTTCAGCTGTCCTGGTTGCCGGGGGCACTGCTGCTTATATGCAATCACGACGACGTGATAGAAATGTTCAGCATAATGCTTTGGGACCTGATACTGATAGGGAAACGCTAGCTCAGGTTGGCAGCAATGATTCTAATATTAGCAGGAGTACACGAAAACGAGGTGGACTCAAATCTCTTCATGTATTGGCTCGGATCCTACTCTCCAATATGGGCCGAAAGGGTGTGCACAACCTTCTAGCACTGGTTAGCGTTGTGGTACGCTAATTAACCTTGGATTTGTGTAGGTTGCAGTTAGTTTGTTATGTAACATCTTTTTTTAATTCCTGAATTCCTTAATTTTTTACATTTTTTCTCTTAGCTTTGAAATTTCTTCTTGTCTGGCCTATTATACGTCATTACAAATAGTTACGGATACCTATACGCCCATGCAACATGTGAACATAAACAGATACACCCACACACATATGGGGTTTTATTAGGGTACTCCTATACATGGAGTATTTCCTTAATGTACTCAAACATTTATTGGGCATTTATTACCCTTATTTTGTCATAAAAAATATTTCGAGCAAGGGTATTTTTCATCATTAGAAGGGATATAATAGATATTTCTATAAGAAACTAGCGGCATTCTATTAGTGGTTAAGAAACAATTAATCTCCATGTGGGTGATCATATCCCATGTGAAAGATTCATTATGCACTATAGTTAATAAATGCTTTTCTTTATATCTAGAAATTTTACTTTACTTTGATTAATTACCTAAAATACCCTTATATAAAAAAATTACTCCATTAAGGGGTTAAGGGTATCAATTGTTAAAAAATGTTGAGTACATTAAGGAAATACTCAATGTATAGGAGTACCCTAATAAATGTATATGTGTATGAGCCTTATCCCAATTATTTGGGGTTAGCTACATGAATCCTATTCCTCCATTCTTCTCTATCAAGGGCCACACACACACACACACATGTATACATGTATATGTATATCTGTATATGTGTGTGTGTATGCTGTGGGGGGGGCACATATATACTTGTAGCTGAATACATTCAAGAGTTATAGATTATAAGGAATTTTTACTGAGATACTCATTCATGGGTCTAGTACATTATGAGTTGGTAATGAATACTGACACACTCGTGAAGTCTACATGCATATGTAGATTACAGATAGATGTATGTGCGTGTTTATGCTGTATGCTTTTTTATGTGTGTATTTTCATTGATTTTGTATGTATTTATGTGTGTACATAGTTGTGAATGCTTCTTGAAGTTGCAATGTTTTATGGTGAGTTCTGTTTAAATTTCCATTGCCTTTTTATAATGTCACAGTCTTGGTGCCAGTGTTAGCATTTTTTTCATGAATCCTTATAAATGCAACCAAGCATTTCCTTCACTTCAGATCTATGGATTATTCTCAGAACTTTAACTATAGCCCTTTGTGCTTTATGCAGGTTTTGAGAACTGCTTTAAGCAATAGGTTGGCCAAAGTGCAAGGTTTCTTGTTTCGGGCCGCTTTTTTAAAACGCGTGCCAGCTTTTTTGCGTCTCATTGCTGAAAACATACTTTTATGCTTTCTTCAATCCACCTTATTTTCCACCTCAAAATACCTAACGGGGACATTGAGTTTGCAGTTCAGGAAGATATTGACACAGCTTATTCATGGGGCATATTTTGAGGTATATTCTCGTTATGGTTATACCGCTGTCGTGTAGCTAAATTTTTGTAGAAGCTTATGGTGAAGTTGTTTTAATTCAATAAATTTCTGCTATCAATCAAAGGGAAAAAAAAGGTACATTTTTTTTCCGAAGAAGTTTATTTTTAATATTAAGGGCCTATTTCTTTGCACATAAAAGTCCCTAAATGCTGGGGCTAAATTCCTATAGTGGAAAATGACTTTTTAGACTTCCGCATTAACAGAGGAAATTGTAGGTATGCAAACTCCTTTAAACAGCTTAAAAGGATATGTGCATATAAGGTTGCATTATCTGTGACTTATGTGTGTGTCCTCACAGACCTTAAATGTTTGTGCTGTTTGTCTTGTATTCTTGTTCATTCTTTCCTTTTAAGACGGGCTAAGTCTGGTTAAGTCTCATGGCTAGGCAACCTGGTGATTCAGATCGAGTCTTCTTCAGTCAAGTCTCTCAGACCTCTGTTTAATTTCAATTAGGCTCATGTCCTGTAAGACTCATCTGAGTCAGCTTGGTAAGACTCTTCTGGCTTGGTGAAACTTGGGTCTGGACTAGGCTGAGTCCTGAGTCAACTTATGAGTTTAGAGAGTTCTTTTGTTCCGTTTTCCTGTCCTTAAGAAGTGATTTATTTTGGTTATTTTGTTGCAGAATATGACATATTACAAGATGTCGCATGTTGATGGTCGAATTAATAATCCGGAACAGCGAATTGCAAGTGATGTACCACGATTTTGTTCAGAGTTGAGTGACCTCATACAGGAGGATATGATTGCAGTTACTGATGGCCTTCTTTATACCTGGCGGCTGTGCTCTTATGCCAGCCCCAAGTATTTTTTCTGGATATTGGTAGGCATTTCTCTCCCTCTTTAGTCTGTGAAATGGAAGCTGTATTTATTCTGGCTATTCTCTTTCTTGTGTCTATCACAATGGAATATATTAGAGCAGTGACCTATCATGTCTGCTCTTTTATGCATTGTGGATTCTGGAGTGCCTTCTTGGACGTGGTGGAGCATATGTCATTATATGACTAGTATTTTGAATTTTATCATGTTTAAGTATTCCTATCTACCTTTCTTTATCAAAAACAAAGTATTCCTATCTACCTTGAAGTTTTTTCACTCCCACATGGATTCTGAGAGGTTATATCACTTTCATAGGCCTATGTAAGTGGAGCAGGGCTTGCGATTGGGAATTTTTCTCCTTCATTTGGGAAATTGATGTCCAGGGAGCAGCAGTTGGAAGGGGAGTATCGGCAACGTCATTCTCGCTTAAGAACCCATTCGGAAAGTGTAGCATTTTATGGTGGTGAAAAACGGGAAGCATTTCACATCAAACAACATTTCAAAACTCTTGTTGGGCACATGAAACTTGTTCTTCATGATCATTGGTGGTTTGGAATGATTCAAGACTTCCTATTGAAATATTTGGGTGCTACAGTTGCAGTCATCCTTATCATTGAGCCATTCTTTTCTGGAAATTTAAGACCTGATACTTCCACTCTGGGTCGTGCAGAAATGTTGAGCAATTTAAGATACCATACAAGTGTGATAATATCTTTATTTCAAGCAATGGGAACTCTTTCTATCAGTTCACGAAGGCTAGCTCGTCTCAGGTTTTTATTTTGTCCATTCAAGCATATATAACTAATTATCTATTTATGGATTTTTCTAATGTTAACAACCCATGAAATCCTATAGGTTACATATAGGAACGGGTGTAAACTGCTAAAATTACTTAGATGCTCCTTTCTTTATTCCATTATTATAACATGAGGAAGGGTATTTTTATCATTAGAAAGGCTACTGTTGATATTTGCACTAAAAAAACAAGGACAATTATGGAGTGAAGTTCTAGGCAATTTATTAATATAAATGCTTTTATTTTTTAGTGAATATTTCAAATATTCTGTTCTCGATATGACAAACATACCTTTTGTCTTTTAGTGCAAATATCAACACTACCATTTCTAATGATAAAAATACTTTATTCTGAACATTGAATAATTAAAGGGCTAATTATGATAAGTTTAACAGTTCACACCCCTTCCTAAATGAGAAGTGTTTTTCGTGTATTTATATGTAGCTCGGTAGTTATGATAATGAAATTCTTCATTTAAGTCCTTATCATGTTTATAAGTGGAATTTATTGCATTTAAACAGTTTGGTTATATCATTTAGTTCCAAAAATTACTGGAAAAGGAAAAGCTCAATTAAAATGAGAAGTGCAGGCAAAGCCACCAGAGGTCTAAAAGTCAGACTTTAACCTACATCAATATCCTAATTATCAAGAAAAAACCTCCAGTGATATCCACGTGATAAACTTATGGTTATCTCTGGCATTGATTTTTTTATACTCATTAGAAAGTATGTCGAATTTCCTTTCCATGGATGACCCTAGACGCATGGGAAGAATAACTAATTTAAAACTGATTATTTGAAAGATCTCTACCTTTTACAGATAACATGCTTAACTAAATAAGCAAAACGAATTACAAAAAGGGGTTGTTCTGAAACTATTGTGGTTTGAAATCGTAATACCGAGAAACTGCTTTGCTACATGCTCTTATCCATGTTTGCTAAGCTGTTGGTAACTGAGTTAGTTTCCCAATTTACATTTTTGCTACTTTAAAATTAGGTTTTTCATATAACTCATTAAGCATTTTTCAAAAGCATGATCTGGCTTCCATTACATTGATGTTCCTCTTTTGGTACTTGGATGTATTCATAGAATCTCTCCTTAATGGTAAGTTGGAGGTTATAAAAATCTAAAGGGGTAGCATAGCATCCACAACATGTGGAAGATGTTGGAAGGGCGGAATGGTTCAGATTAGAAGGACAAAAATGGCTGGTCATGATTTAAAATAGTACTTTATTTTAAATTTTTTGTACTAATGGATTTACTTGAAATTCTAAAGGTGTTTGTGCCACACTTAGGCACACCAAAAAAATATATAAAATAATTTGTAAAAAATAAATTGATCAAAAACCTTGAATGTTTCAGGGGTATTTTGGTTATTATATTTTTCACATTTTTTTAATATTTTTTTAGGTGCGCATGATTGAATGTCGTGAAGGCCCAAAGTTTCTAATTGATCTGAATTGTAGAGAAAAACTGAAAATAAAGCATTAATAGTAACCCTGACCTTTTGTGCTCTTTTCTTTTGAACGTTGGGCTACATTAGATTCTTGAAATATCTAGGAATTATTTAATGCTATTCATGGAGGAGGATTTCTTTAACAATTAACGAATACTTCCTTCATATCTGATTTTGGAGAGAGCCGACTCTTCATCAGTAACCCTATGAATCACACTCCTTTTTTCCACGATATTCACCACAGCAGATATTTCCAACTGTGCTTTCATCCTCGCTTTTAGTGAACAAACGTTTGCTTCTCCAAATGGGCTCTCACAGGGTGCACTCTCACAAACCAGAAAAAGACATCACAGATTGTGCAGACAACTGTATAGTCCCCAAGTATCTTAATATTTGAGGAAGATTTGGTACCGGCTCTGGTATCCTTTCTCGACTGACAGATTTTAAATGATCTCGATCCCGCTTTCTAGATAGGCTTGGCTGGCAATCGTTTCAATCTTTCCTGAATTGTGACCTCGTTAATTGACAATTCCTTTGGTTGAATTTGCCTCTGATGATGCAAGTTAGTACGATGATGGAGTTATTCTTGCCCTCTGTCATCTGTGTGCAGCCGATCATTGATTCCGCATTTCATGGGGAACTTCATTTTTTATGACAATATCTGTTTGCGCCTTGAATATTTCCTTATTTTGCCATTTATCTATTTTTGTGTTTCATGCTTCTCTCATTTTGCAGTGGCTATGCTGATCGTATTCGTGAATTATTGGTAATATCAAGGGAGCTTAGTGCTACCAATGATCGATCTTCCAATAATATCAATGCGAGGGCGAGTGCTTTTAGTGAAGCAAACTATATTGAATTTGATAATGTTGAGGTACTTGACACTGCAGAATCTTGACCCTTATTGGTTATTGCTGGGATTTTTTTTTTTTGTGGGTAGATCACTGGGGATGTTTAGAATACATAATTGCTGATTACTCTTATGCATAATGTGTGGTTTAGGTTGTGACACCGACTGGGAACAAATTGGTGGATGGATTGACTCTGAGAGTTGAATCGGGTTCTAATTTGTTGATCACAGGTATTGTTCTTCCATTTTTAAGGGTGTTTGCTTATAATATAATAATTCTTTGATGCTCCCTGTACCGTATTTGATCATTGTACGTGATTGACAATTTTGATTTAATATGCCATTCTTCATGTGCCTATGTGATCATGATGCACGTGGCTAGGTGGAATTTGTTAAAGGATCTATGGTAGTTAGAGACTTTCTTATTGGGTACATTTAGTATTAGCTGGTTAGCAATAATTTGCCTGGGTCGCATTTAAATTGCAGCGCTTTGTGGCATAAGAAATCGTACATAGCTTGTGTTTGCTTGCAAAACTTTCATCTTCATCATCATCCGAGCCTTATCCAAACTATTTGGGGTTGGCTACTTGCAAAACTCTCAATTTTACTAAAAACTTGTATGGGATGCTGGAGCTATCTGCAGGAAACAAATACATAACCATGTCCATTAAATACATAAATGATGAATGTGAGATTACAGTAAACAACTCAGGGACCCTTTTTTTTTTGAGACAGTTCACTTGTGTTAAGTAAAAAGAAATGTACAAAAAATGAGGCGACCCATAAACAGGGGACCCTATACAAAAACCCCAATGGGCCCAAAAAATGCTTTACAGCAAGAGAGGAAAAATACAACCGAGAGGGAATCTGGGGAGAACTAAAGAGCTCAAAAATAGCATAAATCTCCTTAGCTGGAGTGTCAACTACAATATTGGTTTCCCTGTAGATGTGGTTCCATGAAACTCATATACCCCTGTAAATATGTGAGATCTCATTAAAGATGTGGTCAATTCTCCATGGGCAGGAAGTAGAGTTGGAGGCTCATGCAATGACATTTTTAGAGTCCCCTTCAACCACTAGCTTGGGACTCCAACAAAGGGTTAAACTTGCGAAGGCCCGCCAACAGGGCAAGGGTCTCAACAAGAGTTGAGTCAGCACCGCCAATTGGTCGAGATTCGAGAGAAAGATAACAAAGTGCTACCTCGTTGGATTTGAAGAGGTCCCCTATGCCAGAGGGTCCAGGGTGCCAAGTGAGCAACTGTCAAAGTTCAGCTTAGTGGAGCCAAAATCTAGCGGTCTCCAGAGGGAGTCCCATGAGATCTTTGGGGTTCTCAAGTGAGCAACCGTCAAAGTTCAACGTAGTGGAGCCAAAATCTGATGGTCTCCAGAGGGAGACCCGTGAGATCCTTGGGATTCTCTAGGCCAGCAGAGACTGCCAATTGCTATGGAGGTCAGAGCAAGAGTAATCTTTGAATAACTTGTGGTTTTTGGGCCAAAAGGAGACCAAAGTTCGAACTGTATCAATCATATTGGCCACAATGGTTCTCTCCCCCCTGAATGTTCTATTGTTTCTTTCAATCCAAATCACACATAATGCGGCTGCCGCTAAGGCTCTCTGAAGGAGTTTACCTGTCTTGGGCCAGGGAGTGGAGAGAAAGGCCTCGAAGAGGTGGGGGATCAATCAGGAGGTTACCCATGAGTCCATGACCACTTGAAGAATTGTTGGAGATGGATCCATGAGTTTCTAGCAATCTCACAATGGATAAAAAGGTGTGCATTTGTTTCTTTGGCCTCTATGCGCATGACACATCCACTGGGGCAAGGAAGACTCCTCCTTTGAATGTGGTCGATTAGCACTCGCTCAGAAAGGGCAATCTAGTGGAAAATTTGTATCCTTGGGGGTATGAAGAGAACCAAGCTTTGAACACTAGGGTAAGGGGGGGATAAATAGGATTAGGTGGGGAAGAGAGGGTTTAAAAGAAGGAGGACACCGAGAAAGTTCCTAAGGCTGTAGATGCCCAAATGATCTTGTCTTCCCCTTAAGAACGGAGAAAAGCAGAGTGTAAGAGCTCGACGAAAGTCCTGAATTCCTCGATTTCGTGGTCATCTAAGAGCCTTTTGAAGTTAGGAGTCCAGGATCTAACTGACCTTGAAACTCCAAAATTTCCGACCACTGAAGAATGAGCATCGCGAGCAGGGAGGAATAGGTTAGGGAATTGGTCCCTAAGTGAGGTGTGGCCAATCCAAGTGTCTGACCAGAATTTCACTCTATTCCCCTCCTTTGTGCGGAAACGAATGTGTTGGAGGAAGAGGTTACGACAGTGAAGAATTGACCTTCAAAAGGTAGAGATGTTGCCTCTGGTTCTGCACTCAAGGACCCAACTATCAGTGCCATAGCATTATTTGTGTCGAATGACTTCCCTCCAAAGATGTTGGGCCTCGGTGGCAAACCTTCACCCCCACGTGCCTAGGAGGGCAATTTTGTGGGCTCTGAGGTTAATTATTCCCAATCCACCTTGGGCTTTTGGCACATAAAGCTTTGGCCACGAAATAAGATGATGCTCATGTCCATTATCCCCAGACTAGAAAACTCTCGCATCATTCTCTACAGCCTGGCAGCCACTGTGTCAGGATGTGAAATAAAGATATTTGGAACACAATGGTATTGGAAAGGGTGTCCTTGATAAGAGTGAGCCTACCACCTTTGATAGGAATCTGCCTTTCTAACTCGCAAATCTCAGGTCGAATTTGTCAGTTATGTGACTCGAATAGGAGAGACGAGCCATGACGAGGCATAAGGGAAGGCCCAGGTAGGTAGACAAAAGATCATCAACAGAGCAACCCCATCTATCAGCAGGGGTCTGCACTAATTGAAGGTCTGTGGAAACCCTCAACATCTTAGACTTGGCCAAGTTTATGTTACAGTCAATAGCCATTTTGAAGCACTGGAGTACAGTCAATAGCCATCTTGGCCAAGTCTAAGATGTTGAGGGTTTGTATAGTCGGAAACCAACTCTTCGATATTCCCCTCGAAGGGACTTTGTATACGTGGTCCAACCATTGTGTCTGCGTACTGGAGGTGAGAAATAATGGGTTCGTGATTGCTAGAATGGAAACCTTTTAGAAGACGAGCTTGGTACAGCCAAGAAATAGAAGAGTTGTCAGCCATGAAGGTTTTGAACAAAGCTATGGGGTAGCCATCAAGACTTGGAGCTCGATCAGGGCTTAGGTTGTAGATGGCAACATTCCAACCAGATTGGTTGTTCAGTGGGAAGGGAGCTAGGTTGTCCATGGTGGGTCTTGCTCCTGTAGAGGAGGAGAAAAGGCGTGAAAAGAACTGTATTGCTGCCTGTTCGATGAGATGAGGTTGGTTGAGAATGGTATTGTCGACCTTGAGGTGGGTGATGGAGTCCTCTCGCCTTCTACAATTTACAATCTTGTGGAAGTACTCAGTATTGAGACCTTTGACCTTAGCCATTTGACCTTGGCTCTTTAGGACAAATAAATTTCCTCCTTGCGGAGAAGGAGTTGGTACTTGAGTTTTGCTTTGGAGCGGAGGTCTTGTTCAGCAAGTTGTAAAGTTGTGGACTACTCAACTGCATCCCCATGTTGAATGAACTGGAGTAGGGAGCTCCAGATCTTCAAAGAGGGGATTGCAGGAGTTGCAACTTCCGTTGGAGTTGGAAGCCAGCCCAGCCGTGAACCAGGGGTGAGAAGGATGCCCATCGAAATTGCATCAGATTGTTAAAGTTGGGTTCTTCGAACCAAGAGAGCTCAAATCGGAAGGGCTTGGTCCTTGAGAGATGACTTGAGTATCAAGAAGGATAAAGCGACGATCCGAAGTGGATTTGGGGACGACAATAGAATGAGAACCTGGGAAGAGGTGATCCCAATCCAAGGAGATAAGGAAGCGATCGAGTTTAGAAAGGGATGGGTTGTTTGAGTGGTTGGACCACGTATACAAAGCCCCTTAGAGGGGTATATCGATGAGTTGGTTTCCGACTATGCAATCTAAGAAGTGGACCATGGTGGGGGAGATTGAGATGTTGGAGTTGCGGTCATGGGACCACCTAGTGACATTGAAATCCCCTCTTAGATACCAAGCAGAAGGGCCTAGAGTGGCCAAGGATTGTAGCTGCATCCAAAAGGAAGCCCTAAGGTTGTCGGAATTTGGGCTATAGATCGCAGTACATTTCCACAGCAATCCATCAACCTCCTAGAGAGAATAACAATAATAGAGAATTGGCCTATCCCGGAATCTTGTAGGGAGTGTAAAGTGGGGTCCCAAAGGACCCAGATGCCCCCTAAAGCTCCTTGGGATTCAAGGGAAACCCAACTCATCATCATCATCATAGCCTTTTCCCAATTAATTGAGGTCGGCTACACGAATCCTGGTATGCAATTCTGCTCTATTAAAGGCCAAGCAACCCAACTACAAAGCTTAAATCCCCAAATATGCCGGATGAGAGGGATGGTTGGGGACGGGAGTTTGGTTTCAATAGGGGTGCGGATGGAAGGGGTATGCGTAGCACTGAGGCCACGGATAACATTTCTTTTGTCCGAGTGACCCAAGCCACAGATATTCCACATTAGGAACCTCATTGGAGGGAGAGAGAGAGAAGGTTGACTGCACCTGGAGTGCTTCCTAGCTAAAGGAGCTTGATAGACATTGGAAGTGGGCTGAGGTTCCAAAAGTTCTTCCCTTTTTTTTTTTTGATGAAGGTTAACGTTGTATTACTGAGAGAGATAGTTCAAGAGAGAGAGAGCCAAGTTCACCCCCTAGGGGGTAAACTGGAAAGTATATGTACAGAATGGGCTTATAAGACCGCCCTAAGTAAAGTTACATGAAGCTTACAAAAAACCAAAAATGGGGGGGAGGGGGGGGGGGCTAAACAAAGCATGAGAGGAGCTATGGAGGTGTGCTGAGCCGGAGGTCTTTTGCAAAAAAGGAGACGACCCCAGCTTGGTCGTGAAGTTGCCTACTAGCTCCCTCTTTCGCCAGATGGTCTGCGAAGTCGTTGGACGTTCTCCACGTATGCCACCATGAGACGTCCGTACCCCTGCTAAGATGTTCGATTTCCTCAAATGTAGTGATGAGATACCAAGGCGGGGGAGACATTTTACTAGCCCATGAGATAACATTTTTTGAGTCTTCTTCTACAATGAGATGTAGTCCCCAAGAACGGTTGAACTTTTTCATGCATAGAAGGACAGCAAAGGCTTCAGCGATT